CAGGTCTGCAGCGATCCTGTCCTGTAGTTCAATCATACCCTTCATCGTTTCCACCGAAGGTGTTTTTTTTTTTTTTTAATTCTGAAACTTTTATATCGGTGAAATACAAACTGAGGTTAGGAAAAGAAATAATAATAATAATAACAGAAAATCCTTTTCCTATAAGTTGTTTCATTTTTTTATAATTTTGGACGCCTAACATACCAATTTAATGAATCATCATATCATAATCCAAGGAATGTGTTTCATCTTGACTTGATAATAAATCATGTTTTGGTGTTCATATCTTGTATTAAGGAATTGATTAACAACCTGAAAAATGATCTCATCATTTTTCTTAAGTCAATGAACCAAATATTTCTATTTAGTTTAATTAAAATACTGTTTTCTTCTCAAGTTAATTTAATATTTGTTCAATTATTTTTCTTTGCTTGCAAAGCGTGGTGGAACCAACATTCTAGAAATTGAGGTTGGACCTTTATATACAAGCCTAGCTTAACCAATATATCTCTCTTTGTATGTGCGTATTTGAAATGAACGTTATATTGATTTATTGGATAATGTGGATTGGAAGGGATAAGATAGAAAGTTCATGTATCATCAAAGAGTTATCATAACATAAAGGCCACTTTCTTGTAAGTTACAACAACATGATGGTATAAAATGAACATTAGATTGACTTTATACGGAAACACTCATTAGAGAATTTGAATGGAGGCATTGTCTTTCTTCACACTCAAAAAAGTTGTTAAGGATCTCAAATGTGATAATTTGAAGAGTTCACTCAACCTTGTTCAAAGAGATATATAGTTCAAATGGATTCCTCCACAAGCAAGCTTTGGGCTAAAATATGGATATGGTTTGGTGGACCAACATGGTGAAATCATTTAGGGTTTATATGATGAAATCTGAATTATTTAGATTTTGATTTAGATCATCTAAATTTAATAGATTATTTTTTATTTATCAAAATAAAATATTTATAAAAATAAAAAAATTAATAAATATTTTTATAATTAATTGATCTATATTTATTTTGGAAGGTTCAATTTAATATTAAAATATTTATAATTTTTATATACTGACTATCAGATATACTCTACATAATTTAATTTAATATTAAAATTTTTATAATTTTATATTTTGATTAATCAGATGTACTTTATATGGTATAAATTTAATAAAATTTTAAATTTGTATTATACAAAGTACGTCTAGATAGGTAATATATAAAAATTTTAATATTAAATTAAACTTTTCAAATTAAATTTAGATCTAATTGTTGATAAAAAATTTATTACAATTTTCTATAATTTTTATAAATTTTTATTTAATAAATATCAAATAAAAATTTAAAATAATCCATTAAATATGGACCATTTAGATTTCATTAAAATCTAAAAGGTTCAAATTTCATTACCCTGATGATGCTCATCATCAAGATGAATCCAACCATTTATATGGATTATTGGGTTTGATAGAAATTTTTTTTTTCATTTGCAATACCTCAACTAAATTGATGGGAATTTTGCATGGCTTAAACCTTTCACAGAAGCTTAAAAAAAAAAAAAAAAGAGCTCTATCGTGATTCAGATCAGTAAAAGCTCTAAATATCATATCGAAGGAATATTTTAGTTTAAACAATACCGTCTAAAAAATACTATCAATAAAATAAGAAATATCATCATGCAAGAGTGGTCAGTCATATATGATCTCATGTTTGGAAAGAGAAGCGAGTCCTTCTCAAACTAGCTGTTACCATACCCATCATATAAATGGAGATTTAATTTGTTAAGTTTTGATACTTCACTTAGAAAACTTTCATATTGATGTGTACAAATAAAATATATTGCTCCAACCTAGACTCTGTTTTTTCCCTCTTCCTTGTATAGTGTTTACATCAAAAAAGAAAAAGAAAGAACACTGACTTCAGTTTGTTTTTGTGACTTTTCTTTTTCCCACCTCCCTCGTTCACGCTCACATGTCGTTTGTAGGGGCAATTGTTTCTTATTGTACAAAAATTAATTAATTATCTAAAGCAATAAAATTAGGAGAGATGAAGAGAGGATTATGATACAATATTAGTATGTAAGAGGTATTGAGAATTGAGGGATTGACTAAGTTCTCGCTGGGAGATTGGGCACACAATGATTAAGGGAGAGGTTGCAGATTTTCGTCCACCAACTCAGCCGGGAATTAAGGCTCCGCCGATTCAGGCAGTGATGAAGGTTACGCCATCTCTCATTCCCAAAAGCAGACCCAACTAATTAACTTCTTTTTCCCTTTTCTGTTTTTCACTTTACTTAATTTGTGTGATGATTTCCGGTCTGTCAGGAGTATATTTGTCAAATTGATTCATTTGGTAAGGAGATTGTACATTTTTTTAATAAAAAATTTCGAATTCAAGTTTTGAAAATATAACAATGTTGATAGTAGAACTTACACACAAATGATCCCAATTTGCTTTTAAAGTTTTTCAACTCAATGTAGGGCAAATCTAGAATACCAAGTGTTTAAGGAAAAAATTGACTTCTTCTGTGGCTTTTAGGTTTTGTGAATGGGATTTTTAAAATTTTTTTATTTAACCTAACATAGATTTAGTGGAATTAAATCATTTAAAAGAGTTTTGGAATTAAACTGAATTGGTCATCTCTGTTGAATATAAAATTTGTTCAACTAATGATAATTCGATTAGTAAAAGGAACTCAATCATTCCTCTTAAATAAGATTGTGAATTTAAATCTTACAAATAAAAAAAAAATACTTCAAGAGAACATAGTGAATAAGTAGTTGTATCAAATAAATATGACAATGACATCCCTGAAGTACTCATGAGATCATTGTTGGCAATAACTATTCCACTGATTTAGATTAGTTTCGATAGAAAGTAATAATAGTCCTATGCTTTCTAGGATACTAAACAAAATAATTAAAAAAAAAAGACTTTAAAAAAGTCTAGCAAGTATGAACAAAAAGGGAATATTTGCCGTTTTGCCGTATAAGCACGGGATAATCGGCCGGCCAATGCACCTTGCCTCCTAATTAGTGTTAGCTTGCTCTCACAGCATGCACATATATAATACACTTAACATATATTCTTCCCTTTTATTTTAAAAAAGTTTGCTTCATTCACATGTTCCGCCACAACTTCAGGCTCTCGAACTCAAAAGTCTCATTCTCTATATATATGCATTATTCTTGGCCAATCTTCACACATGCACTTAGAGACCTATCCAAAATTGAATATATAATTAGAGACGCCAACCTTATGAATAAGGCACCGCATTCAACTCTAATTCATTAACTACTAAATATTTTTTAAAAATTTTTAATAAAATTTGTAGCTGGTATGAGCTTATAATTTAATGAGAGGGCGGGGCTCCTTAAACATTTTAATAAATATTTAAAATATTATATAACAATATAAAAAAAATAGGCTTTTTCTATACATGCATTATATAGATTTTAAAGATACTTATCCCTGACTTATAAAGTTATAAATTATAAAATATAATGTAATAATAATTCAATCGTGTATATTGATATTATATAGTGGACATTGGAATTGAAATTAAAGTGTACCATTCTTCAAGTATATAACTTTTTTTTTTTTTGATATCATGAGCACGAGCATGAGTATGAGAAGGAGGCTTTTGTTGATATAACAGAAATCTCTTCCAAGATACCAAAATTAAAAGGTAGACATCTCAAGACTAAATTGTTACATAAATAATGTATATAAAATTTAAGATTAGACTCAATACATACAATACATGTAGATGTAGAGTTTGAAGTTTGAGTCCTATACTCTTGATCTGAATCAATTTATCATTGTCACTAAAACAACATGTTTGGATTGGTTTTAAGGCACTGGACATAAGAAAGGAGTTCATTGGGGCCTAAACCAATTCCTTGATATGAAAGCCCATCAATTAGCCAACCTGCTTTATCATATGCTAGGTGGGACACCACGTTAAGGTAAGTTACTAACAGTTTTCATCCACTCATCCTTATACTCGAGAAAGACGGCATGCCTTGCTCATGGCTATCCACGCAATGGGGTGCACCATTAGCTAACCTAATGGCACAAGCCTTTACTTGTTATCTTTAGGTGTTAGAAAGCAAATTGAAGGAGTGAGTTGCTATCACTCTTTATAAATAGACAATGAGTATATAACTAAGGATCTCTTGATACTTTATAGAATTAATTCAATCAATTTAACTTGCCTAGTGTAAAGATTCAATACCTTCACCTAGCGTCACTTAATTTCAGCCGACCCAACTCACTGTGCTTTGTAGTCTTAACTTCACTTTTATTTCCGTTTGGCAGAGAACCAGCCATAAACTTGCACATGCGTCATTTGACATACCATTGTTTCTCGAGTTTCCTTGTTACTATGCGAAAATTGTGATAAAGGATATTAAGAACCCACACAATCACTTAATATAAATTACTCTTTTGAGAATTTGTTTTTTCTGAAATGCCTAACAAATCCTTAAAAGGCGTGAGGTTCTGAACTCAACTCTCAAAGGCAAGCCAACACAACTTTTGGCTATTTAATTTTCTTTACATTTGTTTAACAATTAATGAATAAGTATTTATATATAAATTAGATAAAATAATTAAATATATGCATTAAATACGTTTAACTTTTAATTAAGAGATGCCATCTTCGGATGATACAGATCCGATTCAAGTTCGTTGAAATATAGTGACGATAACGAACAATGAATTTTAAAATGCCATTCAACTGTAAACCGTAGATTTCAGTCAAAAAAAAACTGTGAACCGTACATGAGATGGGCCCCTCAAAAGAAAAAAATGTGGCAATCATTATCGAACATGCATGCCACCTCACAGGTTTGAATTCAGGTGCCCAATTACTCCCAAACGTATCCACCCTTTTTTCTTTTTTCTTTTCTTCTTTTCCTCTCTTTTTCTTACCATCCTCCAAAAACCTATCCTCAGTTCCACCTTATATATATGCATGATTTAAGCTTGCCTGTAAAAGCACTTCTCATAATAATTTCCCAACCCCCTCTCTAGGGTGCCCATCCCTCCAATTTTTCACAATGACACACCCTGTCACCTACTTAGCCACCATCGTCTTCTTCCTCATCCTCGCCAGCTCGCCGCCCGCTCGGGCCATTCCCAGCCCGAAAAGACGGCCCAGCCTAACCAAGCAGCTGTTCATGGGTCCCCAGAATGCGGCTCGATCGCTGCTCAGAATGCGACCGCTGGTGTGGGACCCCAAGCTTGCTCGTTACGCCCGGTGGTACGCCAACCAGAGGCGCTCCGACTGCGCGCTCCAGCACTCCAACGGCCCCTACGGCGAGAACATATTCTGGGGCAGCGGCACCGGGTGGTCGCCAGCTCAGGCCGCGGCGGCGTGGGTGTCGGAGAAGAAGTATTACAATTACGGGTCAAACTCATGCGCGGCGGGGCAGATGTGTGGGCATTATACGCAGGTGGTGTGGAAGACGACGACAAGGGTAGGGTGTGCTAAGATTAATTGCTATGGCGGGAAGGGCGTGTTCATGACCTGTAACTACGATCCTCCTGGTAACTACATCGGAGAGAGACCTTACTGATCAATGACTTGTTTGGGTTTTCTTGCCGCCGCCGCCGTCCCCGATCTCCGGAAGTGGAATAAAGACATAGAAAATGTATAATGTGTTAGCCAGATACTTTCTGTATCGTTGAAGATTGAACTGTTTGTTCATGACGTGGATCTAAATCCAAGTATATTTGCTCAGTTCTCCATTGAATCACTGAGCTGGATCTGGTTTATGTGGTCTTTGTTTACTAGTTAAGTTGTATATTATATATTTGTCTTGTTATTAATTATATATAATTATGTATGGTTGATTTGGAAGTGTAAAAGCTAGTAACATTTCTAAATGGAATCTGATTTATCTAAAACTGGAACTTGTATCTGTGACATGATGGAGTTGGACTTCTTTAATTTGTGTTGGGTGCAGGACTCCAATTCTCTTGGCTCAATAATTATGTGAAAGCGAAGAAGAGCGAAATTGGAAAATATCAAATAAGCTAAAATAGATGACGAAAAGCAAATTAAACTAGCAAAAGGCCAAACGATTTTGGGGAGGTTAAAACTATAATGGTCTCGTCAAACTCTCAACTAGACCGGATAAATTTGGATGAACAAGGACAATGTCAAGTTTGAGAGCCTTTTTTTTTTTAACAAAAAAAAAACAATATAAATTGTTTTTAGTAAATAATACTGTACAAATTTTTGGAGCCAGCCATTCGGAGTCAAAATAGCCATTGGTTAGTGAATAGCTTCTGTCAGCTCACCTACCAACTAATCTAATAAATCCACTATATCATTCAATTAGAGCCCATGTGCTTGCTTCCTCGTGAAAATTCGGTCAAAAATTTTACCAATTAATTTTGCCCCTTAAATCAGCCATGCATTCTACCATAATCAGAAAATATAACATGGTCACGAGTTTCATTCAAAATTTTTCATTATTAATTAATACATTTTATTTCAATTAGCTTTAATTTTAAGTAATACACAGTCCTCGTTTAGAATTTGAAATCGAAATCTCCAACTGGGATGACACAGAGAAGCTTTTCCGTGTGGAAGTGAATTGGTCAAGCAGCAGCAGCAAAGGAAAAAATTAAAAAGTTGATTGCTGATAGAAAGAGATTTCAAATTCTTCGTAAATTTTTAGTCGATCGCTTTAAAATTATCTTATCTTACCTCTTTCAAACACTCCTTTTTCATTATAATTATTTGACAATATCCATTAGTATTATTAAAAAAATATTAACAATTTTTTTATAAATATTGCAAAATAACTAAAGAATAAGATTTCAAATAGGACCAGAGGATGTGTGTGTGTATTTTAATCTTTTCATATCTTATTTCGCCATTATCACATCACATGAGCGATGAGCCTCGTATTTAATAATTCATCACGCTTCATTTATTACTTATATGCCTAACGTCTGGCGTATGGGTAGGATGGTAATTGCATATTTCTGCAAAGCCGACCCCATACAGCCCGTCTGTAAATGAAATTGAAAAGTTTGTAGCCGAGCCATGTGCGAATTGACAAAAGTATGATTGGTCTTGAGAAATTCTTTCTGTGTTACTTTTTGTTAACTAGAATGATTAATAATCAATAAAAAACAAGAATTCATAATCATTCATATGAGATATTGTTGTCGCAGTAAATATTAATGATAACAAAAATCAACGTATAAGAATTTTATTTGATTATATCTGTTCGATAACCTTAAAGGAGTTATGTTTATCATAATAAAACTTTATAATTTTTGAACGAATATTGAAATTATATATTTTCTTACCCCTAAAGCTTCAAAACTATCCAGGTAAAAAAAAAAATACAGCTTCGAAACTACAATTTACTTTTTGTGGGGAAGCGAAGAAAGAAAAGAAAGATTACTTATCGTGCGCGGATAATGATGCTTATGTCGAATGTTAAGCATCAATATATTCGACACTTTAATACTTTCATTTTTTAAAATATAGGACACATCCATACACACACCACAAATAATAAAAAATATTAAAAATATAATTTAAATTTAGAAAATAGTTAAAATGGCATACATATATATTGCCTAGTCTCTTTCAATAATTTCCTGCTTAGGATTTACATGTCAAAAAATTATATTCCTATATTTTTCAAAAAAGTATCTACATTTTTAAAATAATATTTCAATATTCTACAGATATATATGAAAAAAGCATCAATGAGTATTGATAAAGATATGATATTAATATAAATATATGAGGAAATTTGAAATATGGATATTTTACACAAGGTAACCCAATATTTAACCAACTATTTTTAAACACAGATAGGCCCGTTTGTTGGTAAAAAAACACAAAAGAAACACAGATAGGCCCGTTCAGGCCCAACCTCCCCCACCAAAAAAATAAAAAAGAAGTTGGCTTATTGTTACTGGCAAATGTAAACAAAAAAAAAAAAAGGTTGCGTCAAAACATTAAAAAACTAAAAATGCTATTAATTAGAGGTGTCAATTAAGATCAGTCCGACCCTAAAAAGTTGGCCCTTGAAGGGTCAAGACCTAAACAGGTTGATCCTAATAAGCCCAATTACATGTTAGGGTTTTATTTATAAGACCCGGCTCTAGCCCTCAGGGCTAAAGGGCCGGGCCTCAGGGCCTGGGCCCTATTTTTTTTAAATTTTTTTAATTAAAAATTATAAAAAATATATTATAATTATAAAAAGTTATTATTCATAAAATTAATTTAAGAAAATAAATTTAAATCAATTTACAACACACAACAATAAAGAAAATTAAAACATTTGGTCTAATATAAAATAGCAACATCCAAGTGAATACCAATAAAAATTAACATAGCTAATATTATCAATTAAATCTTAATAACTAAATGAGAGATGGATGAATGCATTTAATATGTTCATTTCTTTGAGTTATGTATTTAATCTTTTATTTTTTTATATTATAATTTTTAAAAAATAATAAGTCGGCCTTTTAGGCCCGATTACTTTTTTAAAGGTAAAATAGAAACCCAGCCCTCAATTTTTTCAGGCCTTACCCTAATTGACGACTCTACTATTAATAAATAGGATTCCCGCCGCATGGGTCTTTTCATCACTGGAGCCGAGAATAAAGGTTGAATTTGAAGAGTTGAGCTTGAAAGTCCCATTTAAATAAAATTTTAAACTTTAAAAATAATTTTTTTAAAGTAATCGAATTTGAGAACTTGACTCTAATAAGTTCTGTAAAAAAAGCTCGGGTCCGAACGACCCTTTAAGCCCTGTTAGATTATTATCATTATATTTTCTTTAGTAGAACACATATTTGAAATTAGTGAACTGCTCACTTGATTTTACATGCATTATATTATTATTAATTTTAATTTATTATAAAATTAATTTAACATAATTTAATAAATATCAGTGTATAGTATAAAATTTATGATATTTTTTCTATAATTATTATTTGTTGTGTGTTTATAAAAAATGAACTATTTTTTAACTAAGATTTAAATTTATTACTAGACTTCTAAATGTGTGTTGTTTAATTTCTAACAAATCATGACGATTTTAATTTTTTTTAATTTCAAAACATTTAATTAATTTATAATATTTTATTTTATTTTAATTTTTTATTTTTTAAAAAAAGCTTGTGAGCCCGTCCTGTTATCCTTTATATAAGGTTGAGCTTGAAAAATAAGGCTCAAAATGAAGAACCGGGTTTTAAAACTTTGGCCTTTAAGGGCCGAGTCTACCAGTATTCCCAGCTCTATTCGTCACTTTCCCGTTATATTTTTAAATATATGCAAATGATTGCATCCAATATGATTTCAAGAGTCTATTTCATTTTTAACTTATATTTTTTAAATAATAAACATATCTTTTAAAAAATTTATATTTATTTTAAACTGTGCATCTATATTAAGCTAAAAAAATTAATAATATAAGAATGAAATTTGGACACAAGAGATTTACTATGATCTCTGTTCATGAAATATTAGTTTGGGATCGTGCTGGCTCTTTCATAGAAATAAAGACAACCTTTAATTCAGACTCAGTATGTAATGTGAGATCTGGGAAAAAAAAAAAAATATATATATATATATATATATATTCGAAATTAAGTATTTTGCCTTCTCTGGATCTTAATCTTGTATTACGGACTTGACTCATTAATACGGAGTTCAATCTCACATCTAAAATCCATCAAATACCCAAGTGCTAATTCACACCCTTTTACTTCCATTCAATTATTATTTTCTCAAACCACAAATTAATTGACGAAATTAATCCCTCGTTTTCCACCACCTACAAGTATATATGTATATAGATATACCTACAATTCACGCACACCCCAATCCTAATTAGTTCCCACTACATATAAAACCAGCTAATTAACACTCTAATCAAACTCGAAAGCTTACTTATATATAGCTTATTATCAGTATGGTCGTTCACCGATATAATTCCCAGGTGGATCATAATTGCAAGTCATGAACACATCTCCATCGTCACAAACAACCCTGGCACAGCCAATCCTCCTTGTCGTCTTCCACACAATCTGAGTATAATGGCCACACATCTGACCAGGCTCGCACGTGTTGGTGACATAAGTGTAATATTTCTCTTCGCCAGCCCATGCTCTCACGGCGTCCGTCGGAGTCCACGATGTCCCACTTCCCCAGTAAATGTTCTCTCCGAGCTTGAAGTCGTCCTCCGGGAACGAATGCTGCAGCTTGCAGTCCGACTTCCTCTGACCCGCCCACCACCTCGCGTACCTCTCGAGCTCGAAGTCCCACATCAATGGAAACTCCCACTTCGATGCCCTCACGAGGTTGTGTGCGAACAAGAATTCTACTGACTCTGCAAAGCAGCCCCAGCACAGTTGCTTTGAGATTCTGTATATGGTCTGGTTGTCTGGTTTTTTCTGAATGTCTGATAAAGAAGAAGAAGAAGGATTTAGTGAGAGAGTGATGGTGGAAGTGAAGGTGACAGAGAGAATGAAGAAGAGAACCAAATAGGCTTTCATGTCTTCGAGACTTGCAGGTTCACTTGCTGTTTCGCCGCTGCAAGTCTTACTGGCACTAAATGTTGAGCTCTGTAACCTCCTTTTTATACTAGTAGAATGGTGCCTATGAAGTTTAGGAATTTAATAAGAATGTGGCTAATAATCTTTTTGGAAAAATAAATCAACATGGAAGCTAGGTTGGCTGAAGCAATAAAATAAAAATAAAGTTAATGGGATGTGGGGGAAAAAACAAAATTTCTCATATTTATTGTCATGCTTGCCCTGTCTCACGTTGAAACAGTACAAATTGGCAGCAAATCATAAGATTATATTGAAAGTCTGATTATGCATTTGTTGGATCAACAGGCAAGGAAATGAGGTTGAATAGT